TCTGTCACAGTAATGACATTTTTTATTGATTCCTGCAGGCGAGGTCTATTCTCACCCTCAACAGGAAGGTCATGACCAGGGCAGCAACTAACACTTAATTTCAGTATTGATTTATTTTTTAATTGTTTGATTGATTGAGCGATTAATTGCTCAGCTGATAAAATATCAGGAAATATGAAATATGTCCCAGAACCTAATTTTGTGTGTCCCTTCATGAAAAAATTTAAATTACAAATATATTTAACATAAAAGAAAAAAAAAACAGTGAACGTAGTTTGAATTCAACAGGACTATCAGTTTGACTGCCAGATATTTTTTTTATGTTTTTAATTAATTAAGAATCTGAAATTTGAAGTTTTGAGACAAATATAAAATTTGGTACAAAATTAAAGCTGTCATTTATAATTTTACCTTTTGCACCTTCACCAGGTCAATTCTTTGATCGGTAATAAAACTAAACTCGTGGCAAAGAACAAATGTGAGGGAAGAGTTGCATTATGGGATTATTATATCCATTTTATTTGTTGTATTAATCATTTGTCATGAAAATCCATCACAATTATCAAGAGCCCAAGTTGACATCTTCAAATGATCAGTCATTTGTAAAGTATTTGATTTAAAATAACAATTAAATGGAGAGTAGCAGCAGATCCAAATAAACCAGCTCGTGTTTATTATTGCTTGATAAATGACTTAATTGCTCATTAAAACTGCTGTTGATTAATTTTCTGCCAACCGGATAATCAATTAATCAATTTATGCTTTAAACACTTAATGAGGGCAGGTTCAGCTCTGGAGCTCGAAGGAATCCAGCTTCTTGCCAACACAAGACCCTGAACGCTAGCTGTCCTCACACACACACACACACACACACACACACAAATCTGCTGTTTGCACCCCAAGGGCCCTCTCAAGAAAATCATGGCCCCTCTCTCCGCACACGGGGTCTCCAGCAGGGGCCCAGGGAGACAACAGCATCACAGCTGCAGCCCTGAACACTGTGTACCTGGGAGAGCGGTGACAAGGCCCCAACAGGCCACACACCCTCTGTTCCCACACAACCCATCATGCATTTCTCTGACCTCTCATGCGGTCGTTTGCTTTATTTAACCAGGACGAGATACTCAACGCAATTACGTCTTTCCAGGGACTGCACACACACACACGCACGTGTCGCCGGCTCGCTCACCCTCACACATCATTTCTACCTTTTCTCCCCCTTCTCTCCTCCCATCTCATTACCCTCCTGTGTCAATCCCCCCCCTCATCCCTTCATCTCCCTCTCTGTAACCTAACCACCCTCCCCTCCTCTACCTCTCCCTCCTCCTCCTCCTTCTCACCCCACCCTCTCCCCTATTCTCTCCCTCTATCTGACACTCAGCGGGGCTGCTCTCCATCTCTCTCTGTGCCTGCAGGCAAACATATGCTGCTCTTCCCGTCAGATTCCGGTGTGTTTGAGAGAGGAGGGATTGTTTAATGTTTATTAATCACCTGTCTGTGGTGAGGAGAGGAGACGGTGATAGAGCCACACACACACACACACACACACACACACACACACACACACACACACACACACACACACACACAC